GAAGAGGTTGGATTAAATTTCGATGTACTTATTTTTTTATAGATATTTATATTCTAAACAACTTATTCCTTATATTTACCATGTTAAATATACATTTGGGCAGGCCATATTGGTCTATGTATTTTTTTTAAAATGTATTTCTGAATGAAATTGAGAAAATGCTTTGTTTTGCCTGTCAAGGTAATAACTTTAGAAAATAAATATTTTTTCCCTACTGTACTGATTTTGAATCATTTCTGAAATTCCCAAGAAGTGGACCAAAGTGCTAAGAATTATGAAGGGAAATGATTAAAGCTGGGTTTTTTGGTGGGGGAGTGGTAGTGATAAGAAGGAAAATAGTGTTGGCTAATCACAAAAGAACTTGATCTAGATCTTAAAAGTTGCCTTTAGATTACATTAAGGAAAAAACGAAACAAAAACCCAGCATTAATACCTCTGTGTTTCCCTGGACAGCAGCCTTCTGCTTCCTCTTCCCCCATGCCCCCGACCTTAAAACTCTCCTGGGGCTTGCTTCATCCATTGACTTTGCTTAGGCTATGAGACAGGATCCTACAGTTCAAGCGGATGGTGTGGTGAGAGGTGCTTTCTCCAAATCAAGGGGCCGAAGGAAGCAGTGGCAAGACGACTCCCCCAATCATACCTAATTAGACACAATTCCACACTAGAAAAATACCTGGAGGAAACAGCCGCCGGTTCAGAGCAAGTGAGGGGCCCCTCTTATTTTTTTATATTTTATTTTTTGGGCTCAGATTAAGACTTTTGTTTATTAAAGAACACTAAGTGCCTTTGCTTTTCCATGGTAGCCCAGGACTGCACACATGCCTGTGGTGGTTGAAATACTGAAAGCTGGGTGTAGGGCGTGGGGGTTGTGGCTCATTCTCCTGTCCACTTTGCTGTGCTGGTCTTGCCAAACCATCTGGGAGACTGGTATTGCATATGGTTGTTACCAACGGAAGCCCAAAAGAGCTTGATGAGCTCTTGACACTCGTCACCATCTTTCCCAAATAGGAAAGAATGCCTGGCATTCAACAAATATTAGCTCATGATGATCACTGTTGTCCAAACAATGACACATCTGAAAGACGTTGAATACCAGCCTTCAGGTGTGTGTAGCCAACGTCCCAGGCAGAGTTTCTATCTCTATGACATTGTTTTTCATCTTCCCTTCTTCCTCTCTCTCTCTCTCTCTCTCTCTCTCTCTCTCAAGGGACAGTCTAATATCTAAAAGTGTATTTTCTAGAAGTCCATTTAGAGCAGATTTCTCTCTTTGCCCTAAAGGCCAGGCAGAGCTTTGATCTCAGGGCTTGGAGGACCAGATATCCTTTGATCTAGCAAACTGTTGGTGTGTGATTCTTAAGGGAATTGTGAAGTTTTGTCCACAATGACCGGGGGCTTGGCTTGAACTTGGCCACTGTTTAATCCTGAGCAACGAGTCTTCCTGCATCGTGAGTGTTCTCATCGGTTAAGTGAGGGAGTGGGGAGTTTCTCTAACGGCTCCAAGAAAGAGCATGTGATGTTCTGAAGCATGAAGAAATGGAGGTGGTGTGAGAGAGTGAAGTTCTGAGCTTGGAGGACGTGGATCCGTTACCTTTAAAAGGGAGTTGGGATGGAAAGAAGCCACTGAGTACAAGAAGGATGAATCAAGCAAAGGTGATAAGATTTCTTTTTCTTTTTTCTTTTTTCCCCTTCAAATCCTCTTCCTCCGTGCTTCCTGCTTCAGTAGCCAGCAAGAAAAGCAAGAAGCGTGAAGGAGCTCTCCTAGGGCATGAGGTCAGTAGTAAAATTAAGCTGGAAGATTTAGAGGAAATGAATATTTTTCAAGTATGTAGAGGAAAGATTCGATATTATTCAAGGCTCATGCTGGCTTGAGAGGTAAAGCGGTAGAATGGACTGTCACATTTCCTGCTGTTTTTCTTTCCAGTAAAAGTGTGGTTTCTGGAAGTCCACTTAGGAAAGATTTCTATCTTCGAGCTAGAGGCCAGGCAGGGCTTTGATCTCGGTACTCTGAGGACCAGAGGATCCTGGGTGCGGAGTCGTGACCTTTGGTGGAGGGAGGAGCCCACAAAGGGGTACTGGATTTTTCTCCTCAGGGAATGCCTTCTTTTATGATGGAAATCATTGGCTTTAATCCTGCCTGTGCTTCCTGAAATATTCAGGATATTATACTAAGTACAGTTCTCACAACTCCAAGTATTATAATGAAGCTAGAGTTCCCTCGAGAAGACTCCTATTGACATTGAGGAAGAGAAATCTTTTGTCTTCAGGTGAAGAAGCCAACGTCCAGAGAAGGATAGAACTGACCTAAGATCACACAGCAAGCTGTGGCATCTTTGGACTCCGAGCCCTTGAGTACAGATGTTTTACCCAGAGGCTCCTGGAGGGCAGTGGAGACTGGTGCCCAAGTAGATATTATCAGAGAGTTCTGGGTGGTAAAGGCAAAGTCAGCCTTCATAAAAGCTTTGCCTTCTGGCCTCATGGGTGGTGGCTGGTGGTCCCTCCTTGCAGTATGTAGTGGAAGAAATGTAGGAGAAGAGAAAAGGAATAGAAGGAGACATACAAGTCCCATGGCTTCGTGAGGTCAATTTCTATAGGATGAAATAGAATATAATGGGGAACTTGCATTTATTATTACTTTTTAGGGTTTACTTACTAAATAGTCCTTAGATAATATGAGTAAAGAGGAATCTTTTTGCTCCATTTTCTTCTTCTAGTAATACTCCAGTATAGTAATGCTCAAGGTACTATGTTTTCTTTCTTTGTCTTTAGACAAAGCATTTGTCCTGAAAATGCTTATTTTCCAACCCAAGTTCTCCATGTTCAAAATACTGTTTTCAAGCTCAGATTCTTAATGGAATTTCTCCCACTTTGGCTTTCTCTCCTTTTTGCACCCTCACAGTTTCTGGGGTCCTGGATCTGGGCTCAGGATGTATCTATTGCAAGTGCACGTTGCTGTTCTCAGAACCTTATGATTTAACAGCAACCTCTCATCTCTGTAGAGAACTGAACTTCTCGTAGCATTTTCCCATTTGTCATTGACCCCCGCCCCCATACCCAACTATCTTTTCAGGATATTGGGGCCATATTTTTATACTCTATGATGTCTGAGGAAACAGATATATTGAATGAATAAGTGATTTCTTCAGGCTCTTCTCCCAGGCAAATAGCAATACTGGATCTCAAGACTCTTGACTCTTTCCCCTAAAATTGCCCCAGAGCCCAGGGCATAGTACTGGCCCTGACTCTTGCACAAATGTAGATTATTTCCATATTGCCAGTGAGCTATGAGCAGAATTAACTTTTTCTTTTACAGATATCAGTGCTCCATGTGTGCACTGGCATCCTAGTCCTGAGCATTTTCATTGCATATCATCCTATGCCAATGCACGGTTGGTAGAAAAATCATGACAATTTATGATGGCTGTTTTCAAACCTGGTACCATGGAATGCTTTATTGACAACTACCAGCCATAGGTCCAACACATGGGAAGAAATTGCCGTGATAAATGAATGGCAGAGGTTGTGCCATTTCCCCAGAATAATCAGAGAATGATCTAGAGCTGGTGCCATTGGATAATGAAAACAGAGGGCCTAGGCCTCTGTTTCCACTGACTAATGGAAATGATGGGTCCCAAGTATGACAGGCTGTTCATAGCTCTAAGAGGCAGCACACTGGGGATCTGACATGCAGACTTGTTGGCTCAGAGGGTTTTTTTTTTGGTGTGTGTGTGTGTGTGTGTGTGTGTGTGTTTCTGTATCTTATTTCTTCACTTTCATATTCTGAGTCATTCTGGTCCTCCACCCTAAACTGCTGTGGAAGTATCTAGGATGAAGCTACCACTGGCATGGCATGGGCAGTGACCAACTGGAACAGACAGGTAAAAAATTTGGGATCAGATTCCTGGTGGCCCCCAACCAGGCCAGATGTTAAGTTCGTAAGACCCACTTACAGGGGTCTCATTGGGGGAATTTGTGTAGTTGAAATATTCCTTTATTCAGGCTCCACTCTAGTGGTAATTATTTGTCACAGTGAGATGGATCTTTTTATTTCTCTCTAGTCCAATTCATCCATTTCACCATCATCATAATAATCTTCCCCAAATGCTTTAATCATAATTTCAATGAATCCAGAGCTAGAAAGAACTTAAGAAATAATTCATGCTATTTCCCCATCTCAAAAAGACATTTCATTGTCATTCTCTGCTTATAGAATAATGAATGTTATCCACTGAGGCAGGGAGCACTAGAGAAGGACCAGACTGAGAAAGAAGAACAGAAAGTATTATAATTTTGGTATTGGACAACTTGAATTTTAAATTCCTTATTATGGATATTTTTGAATATACCCAACATTTGAAAGATTAGTATAATAAGCCCTGTATAACCATCATATAGTTGTCAAGATAGGATTAGTGTTATTTCACCTCTACCCACATTCTGCGTTCCCTTCGTGGATTACTTTGAAGGCAATCCATAGTATCACTGTCATCTCATCTGTAAATATTTCAGTATAGATGCAATGAATTTGATATGCTTTGTTCAACCAAGTGAAATGTGAAATGGTCAATTGGATATGTGGGTCTGGAGCTTAGAGGGGATGAACAGCAAATGTTTCCAGACCTTGTGGGACTGGTAATAACAAAGGAGACAAACACATGTAACGATAGTTAACATTTACTTAGTGCTCACTATGTGCCAGATACTCTATGGAGAGATTTGCCCTCATCAACTCACTTCCTCATGACTATAACCCTATGAGGCAGGTACTTTTATTTACCCTATTTTATAGATGAGGAAACTCGGGGAGAGACTGAGTAGTAACTTGCCCCAGGTCACGCAACTAATTAGGAGGCAGAGCCTGGTATGACCCAGATAATCTGACGCACTGTGCTTTGTGACTAAGAAAAGTACAGTAATAAAGGTGACACCAGGGGACAAACAAGTCCTATGATGGTATAAAAGTGGCAATGATCAATTCTGCCTGGAGACAGGGAGAGGAAGAGTGGTGGTTTCAGGGAAGGTTTCATGGGAGGAGACTGAGAAGAATGGTCCTTGAGCCCCTCACTAAGCAAAATACCACTGGTTCTGAATTCTGCCAAAGGTATGTAATAGTCTCAATAAAATGCTTTGTCTACAAATGATATAATAGGAAGAATGTAACCTAATTTGCTCACGTGACTGGCTCATAGTAAAAGTATATAGGTATCTTTTTCATCAAGAAGTGATTTATCCTAGTAAAATCCAGAAAGGGTAATTAATTTAATGGTACTGAAAATCTTGAAGCAGCACAATCACAATAAATAAAGTCAGAAATTTATTTTTCTAAGTGGTGTTGATTTTTCTGATTAATCATTCTGCTAAAACCCAGAAAGTGTAATTAACAATATTGAAAAATCTTAAAGCAACATGACAATAGCAAATGTGATAGAAATCTCTTCTTTTCTTTTTTTTTTTAAGATTTTATTTATTCATTCATGAGAGACAGAGAGACAGAGACATAAGCAGAGGGAGAAGCAGGATCCCTGCATGGAGCCTGATGAGGGACTCAATCCCGGGACCTCAGGATCATGACTTGAGCCAAAGGCAGATGCTCAACCACTGAGACACCCAGGTGCCCCAGAAATCTCTTATTTTCAAGTGGCATTCAACTAAATTAAAATTTGGGGATGTAACATTAGAAAGAAAACAATTCTAATAGTTTTCAACTAAATTTAGAAAATTTTACTAAACTTGTGTCTAACAGAATGAAATAACTCCACCGGAAGCCTCTGTACTTGACCACACATAAAATTCTGCTGTAGCTCAGATACTCTGCCAATCTCCTACAATTTGCCACATGGTCACAAGCGTCCTTGCACCATGTCAAGAATTCCCACTTGGTATATGAGTAGAAACTGCTGAACCAACTGTTAGCTTAAATGTCTTCTTCAGGCTTGCAGAGCTTGCTAAGAGGCCATTACCAATCACCCTCCTGTACACATTGTTCACTGGCTTGCTCCCCCTAGTAACTGGTTCATTTTTCTCTGTTCAGTGGCCATGGGTGGTGTCTCTCATTTTGGTGAAAGACAAAATGCACAGGGCAATTAAGGAAATGATTTTATTCAGGCCTTTACAATTAGGAAAATGCTCATCAATGAAGACTGTTTCAAGAAAAGGAAAGGAGACCAGGGTTTTATAGAAGCAAGGAAACAAAGAAGTTGTCCAATAGTCCTATGAGAGTCTCCAGGAAGGCTGGAGAGGGTATCCTCTGAGTTGTTGAGAAAGAGCAGAGAGAAATATTCAAGATCAGGGTGGTATTTTGTGGTTAGCCATTTCTCAGAACCCTAAAGGGGAAGGAGTATTCTTAACCCTTGCTTTTGAGGAACACAAAGCTCAGATAAAGTTTGACATTGTCAGTCCTCCTTTTTTGTTTAGGATGAATGTCTATTCATCATCGAACAATTCAGCAATTATAACCCTCCAGAGTGGGGCAGAACAAGGTCTCAGAAATAGTTTACAAAGATTTTTGTATGGCTCCTGCTAAAGTGAATGAAGCAGCTATTAATAAGTGATGGTAAAGAGCAATGGTTATAGCATCCTGGAGATCAGGCCCCTTATTTTTTTTTAATTTTTATTTCTTTATGATAGTCACAGAGAGAGAGAGAGAGAGAGAGGCAGAGACACAGGCAGAGGGAGAAGCAGGCTCCATGCACTGGGAGCCCGACGTGGGATTCGATCCCGGGTCTCCAGGATCGCGCCCTGGGCCAAAGGCAGGCGCTAAACCGCTGCGCCACCCAGGGATCCCCCAGATCAGGCCCCTTAAAAGGGAGATGCTTACAATGAAAAAGAGAAATGTGAACATTAAAGGTTATATTAAAATGGGGAGCTGGGAGCTGAACTCTGAGGGTAAGCAGCCCACTGGGTTTCAAGAGGCCAGTGGAGGAATACTCTATGGTATGTACCACTGCTTTTTGAGTTTCTAGGAACTCTTGGGTTAGGATGTTGATGCTTTTGATCATGTTTCCTCAGTCCATACATGAACCTAGCATTCTATCAGGCTTATTTAATGGTCCAGGTTGTGCCTTTTCAGGGAGAAATCAGACCTGTGAATGGCTGGCTGTGGTGCTGAGTTCTTTGAGACATATGTCAAGCCATTGGGCTTTAGCTCGCAGTGTTCTTTGGGCCCTACAGAAAGGGCCAGCTGCCAAGCAACTTAGAGTCCTCACAGGGACCTGGGTAGTAGGCTCCAGTTCTCAGTGACACTGAGTCAGGTAGCAGGGCGAAAAATTGGAAACCTTAGTTTGAAGGATTATGGTCAGATATTGAAGGAAACTGGAAGGATTGAAAATCTAATAAAGATTGACAATTTGGAAAGGAGCCAGTCCAATTTACAGGTAGGTACCCACACTGATTTTTCCACAGGTAGGGAGCAAGATAGTTCAAAGAGCCAGAGGCAAGACAGAGTTTGTATAGGCATCAGTTATCCACAATTTTAAAAGAGTTCTATCTAAAATAGTTCAAAGACAATGAACAGGGTCAGAATCTGGTAACCTGGAAGGGTCTGCTATATGACATATAGTTTTCATTGAGATTCAAAATTCTCAAAAAGAAACAAAACAAAACAAACAAAACCAAAATTCTCTCTACAGTCACCCCAGTTTTGGTCAAAGATAACCTCAAAGAAAAGTTATTCTTGATCAGGTTAGTTTAATTAAATTTGGCATAGTTATCTAGATAGGTATAATAGGAATGGTAATTTACCATATAGGCCATTTTAAGTTTACTTTCTGGAAATTTTTATAAGGAATTTCAGACTGGACTTTTAAAAAAGCCTCTTGATGTTAAAATGTCAAGCTGAAAGCTTGCTACCAGATTTCAGCTGTAGTAGCCCACATCTGGGCAAATTCTTTTCTTCTTGAAGTTACCCAAATATTCTGAGATTCATGGGCCTTCCTGGAAATGACCTTTCTTACTTACCTATAAGGCTGGGAATTTATGTCAGGTATCTGGGCTGTTTGCCCCTGAGAGCTTTGTAAATACTGAGTCCATAAAGCTGACCTTAATTTCTTCAAAGTGGCTAGTCATATCTGATTAAATAAGCAACATTGTCAAATATGACATTCCGGGCAAGGCCTTGGTTGTGTAACCCATATTTTCAATTATGTCATGGTAACAAGGACAGATCCTTACTGAACCTATGCAAAACTATTGCCACGAATACAAAAATACTCAAGGAGAGTTCCTGAGTTCTGGATTAATTGGGCAAGAAAAACAAGGTATCATTTGCAAATCTTTCAGTTGACAAAAACAGCGTCCACTAAATTATCCATTACAGAGAGTAGAAGAGAAAAAAGTAAGGGCTTCCTTATTCCTCAGAAAATAGAATATTAGAACAACCACATTCCAGACAAAAACACAGTCATTCTTCATCAGCTCATTGAGTCTTATCTAATTAAATCTTGTTCTTCCCTGTCATGAGTTCATGTGTTTCTCAGCTAGAGTTCCAGAAATCCTAACTCAGTCCACTGGTATGATCTCAGCCCACTTGTTTAAGTGATGCCACCAGAACTCTATACTCCAAAGTACTTCTGTGTTGAAGGTGAAATACTCTGGCCTGTAGCTGATTGCAAGAGCTTTAGGGAAGCAACGGAGTAAAACAAAGAACTTTCTGTAGATGACATAAGATTTTAAATGGCTGTGGTAAACTTATTACTGACCATTTTCAGTAGTGAAATATTTGAGGATTGTTCATTATAAGAATAGTGCAACTGACCGAAAAAATGTGGTTGTTTATGTGGCATACAAAACAAGATAAAAAGTCAATCCAAAAAAGTTTGAGACAAAGTAATTATAAACACAACTGCTACTCCTATTTCAGAGAAGAATGGATATTACATCTAGTTTATAAAAATAGATGAACGTCATCTTTAAAAAATCCTCAGATATAACTGTAATAATCTTGACACAATATACCATGAATATAGCATACCAAATGTACAGTGAAATATTCAAGAATATGTCAAGAATATCAAAGAGATTCTATAAGTTTGGACTACGTCTTATACATCAATATGTTAATAAAACTCCATAAGTGAGTGATGTGAATACCAAACTGAAAATCACTGTCCCAAAGATGCCAGATTCAAATTAAAGAAATAGAATTGTGATCAAGTTAATATATTTTTATATAAATTTATTTTTTATTAGTGTTCAATTTGCCAACATATAGAATAACACCCAGTGCTCATCCCATCAAGTGCCCCCCTCAGTGTCCATCACCCAGTCACCCCCACCCCCCGCCCCAAGTTAATATTTAAAAAAAAATAATTGATGGTGCCTGGGTGGCTCAGTCAGTTAAGTATCTGTCTATCTGTCTTTGGCTCAGGTCATGATCCCAGGGTCCTGGGATAGAGCCCTGCAGCTGGGAGTGGGGAGTGGGATGGTCCCTGCTTAGCAGGGAGTCTGCTCTCTCTTTGCCCCTCCCCCACTTTTTCCTCTTTCTCTCAAATAAATAAATAAAATATTTAAAAAAATAATTGAAAAAAAATAAAAATAAAAATTGAGATTATGACTGTCAGCGCTGCATTATTATTGCCTAATATTAGACAAAGCAGTACTAGGACTCTGATACATAGAAACATATCACAGACAATGAGGACACTGATAATTTTCTAGGGATATCTCATATAACATACAATTTCTGAAATATTTATAAAATCATATCCATACACATTTTACCTAGGGAAAGTTAAGCATCTCTTCTGGTGTACTAACTCATCAATGTAACTCTTCAAAAGTCTAATTATTTCTAGTACTTCTTTTTTAATACAGATGAAGGAATAAGCCATGGTGACTTTCCAGGGAACTTTTAAAAAATATATGTATATATGCACATACACACATACATCCATGGCGCCTCTAGACTACATAAAAAGAAAAGGTAAAATTATAATAATCTAGCCACATAATGAATATCTATTCATTTACTCAGTATGGCAAGTTTCAAGGTTTTAAATTTCTTAAAGATCTTGCAAATCTCTTCAAAATGACATACTGCAAAACATAATTATTGCTGAAATAAATTTTTTCAGAATAATAATTCAACTGGGTAAAACATAAATT